TTCCCTTTCCTGCCTAGCTCGGGAAACCCTGAATGTGAAGGTGCGGGTGCCAAGACTAGAAATGGTCCGGTGCCGGGAGAAGGGTGGGTAGTCATGCTGCCCACTGCTACCACTGCCGTTTCTAGTAAGAGTCTGTGGCCCGGCTCGCTCGCTGCCACTGTTTTACGTTCACGGCGCGGGTCATTTAAGCAAGCCCCAAATGGTCAGGGGTTCTGACAATTGACCTCGCCTGTGTTCCTCTTCGTCGCTCACAAGCATGTGTGTCTATCAGGGACCATGACGCATGCACCGTTGAACCACATTGCTCAGCATCACGTGTTGCTGGCCGTCGAGGGTCACACCGTATGCAGCAGGACACGTACGCGTACACACAGGCTCTTCCAGGACCCCATTATCTGAGTCTTGTCTGGGCCCCTGAGGCTTCCAGGTGCATCGAGGTACCACTGTTCATAGGAAATTCTAAATCTTATTTCAGGTCTTGACTCAGATGAAGAACTTGGGCTGCTCTGTCACTACACGTCCTATCTAGGTGATTGTCTGGGGCTGACCACGGGCTCTGGATGTGCTGTAACCTTTTCTTTTGATGTCACGTGTCTGCACGTCTGCATGGTTCCCTGAGCTCGGAGGGTTGGCACGCACAGGGGACGTGGGTCCTGGCTGCTGTGTCTCCGGGATGCTCCCTCCACCCCCCGCCACCCAGGTTTGGGGCCCGCTGGCCGAGGGGGCGGTCCCCTCGGTCCTGTTAAGCAGCCATGTCATCCTGCGACGCTGTGATTTCACGCCCGGCCGGCAGCTTTGGCATTTCTTGGGATGTGGAAGGAAGAAAGCAAATTGGCTAGCAAATCCAGGATCTGCTAATTGTCCCTGGGGCTGTGATGTGCGCATGCCATATAGCCCCCGAGGACAGCCAATCCTGATGCTTTCTGATTGCCAGAAGCTTGCCTGAGTTTGTTTTTCTTTGTTTTGTTTAAAACAGGGCAGTCACTGATGGGGGGGTGGGCGGTGTGTTTGAGGTCAGTGACTAGATCCGCTTCCACAAACATGTCCTTGTGGCTAATACTAAACTTTCTCCGTGTGTGTGTCCACCCCACCCCAGACCAGAGAGTGGCGTCCTTCTGTACCCTGACCGATATGCAGCACGGGGAGGACCTGGAAGGCGCGCAGGAGCCTCCTTTATGTGTAGACCCAGGCAGCGGCAAAGAGTTCATGGACACGACTGGGTATGTGAGCCCCTGGGGAGCCCCTCACCCCCCTACCCTGCTCCTCTTCCCAGGCCCCCTGAGTAGCAGGTTCAGCAAAGCCACAGGCCACCAGGAGATCATTTCCAGCCTGCACTCCCCAGGGCCTTCAGGATCCAGATACGGGACTGAGTGCGGCTGCCCCTGCTGGGGTGGGCGGCCCTTGGCAACAGAAGTGCTCTGCTGTGGGCGGTCCCTGCCCGCCAAGACATGTCACCCCATGCCCGTGGCGACAAGGCTGTCTGACAGAGGGGGGGAAAGCGGGGGCCTGACTCTGCGTCTGCCGGTAATTGCTGCCACAGCCCCCAACAGACAGGGACTTTGCTGATCAGTCTCCCACTGCCAGGCGGCCCGTGCAGGCCTGCCAAGGGCACAACTCCCCACCGCAGCCTGGTCCTTGACCCTGGCCTCACCCGAAAGAACCATCTCGTTGCCCTATATTCTTGGCATGTTTATCACCCACGGGGTCTATATTCTTTACCTGATTCCAACTTTTATATGAACTCGTGTGACCCTTAACTGGCCCACTCATCTTGGTAATGACCTTTATGATATTTTCTTGACAGAGAAAAACAAATTGGGGAAGTCGAATCTCTATTTGATTCCCAGGACCTCAATGGTCTACCTAGTCTCAGTGGACTAAACTGATTTAGATAATCTGTCTTCTGTGTTTGTTACCAACATACATGCCTGCAGGTTCTGAGTCCCTTTTTAAAAAAATATTTTGTTTATTTATTAGAGAGAGAGACAGCGAGACAGGGAACACAAGCAGGGGGAGTGGGAGAGAAGCAGGCTTCCTGCCGAGGAGGGAGCCTGATTCGGGGCTTTACCCCAGGACCCTGGGATCGTGACCCAAACCGAAGGCAGACGCTTAACGTCTGAGCCACCCAGGCGCCCCCTGAATCTCTTTTTAAATCAACAGAGATGCAGAAGGGATTTTCTACCAAAACAGCAATATGTTCCCTTTCCAAATCTGACATAATATTATTTATTTCCTCACTGGGCTCTAAGCAAATTCTTTGAGTGAAAACTTTACCAACAAAATACAGAGTGTCGCTTCTGTACTTGGATGACCTTGAGTCCTTCTGACCCCACCTCTCTTCGCTAGGGAGCGGTCTCCATCCACACTGACAGGGAAGGTCAATCAGCTGGAGCTGATTCTCCGACAGCTGCAGACGGACCTTCGGAAGGTGAGGGACCTGTCGCGAGCCACCATCGGAAGTCTGTCCTGCACAATCACCCCCTTCCAACCAGTAGAAATAAAAATGAAGATGCTCGGGAGAGATTACCACCCTAGTCAAAGCCAAACGGAGACCCCTTAGGTCTAATTCTCGTTTCTAGCCTGTAGCTTATATTTTTTCACTCTAAGGGGACCCAAGACTTACAGGAAATAGGACTGCACAAGGGTGAGCCCTCTGGGCCGCCAGTCTTCAGAGCAAGGTAGAAACACACAGGCGAGTGTTTTGGTTCGGTGAGTGATCAGTTGTACCAACAATTCAGGAGCTGACCTTAGAGGCGTTAGTTGCTGCCAGAAAGCCTGTTTTCCCCGAGCTGTTGTATTCCCATGGAGTCAGCTACCTGACCCTCACAACTTCTGCCCTGCATGTCTAGGTGTGTGCAGCCGGTCTCCACAGAAGTTAATTTGCTGAGCCCTTCTTGTATCATCAGCCCTGCACTGGGTAGCCTTGTGCTGTCCATGGGAATGGAACGGAGTGTGACAGCGGGAAGGCAGCGGGGAGATGTCCAAGGAAGGGTTTTATCACTGCTGTGTTTGTTGAAGAAAGGAGAAATTACAGCCAGTGTCAACGCTGGTGGAATGATCCAGTTGCAAAGGAGAAAATGGCAGGGGGAAGAACCAGGGGGTGATGCCCTGACCTAGTGCACAAGGCAGGGGCTGGCCTTGATTCGGAGTGGGGAAAGTTTGTAGGTAAAGCACTGTGGGCGTGTGTGTGCAAACATACTCCCATGCATACATAGGTCACACACATGTAGTCAGAGATAGGTTGACAGGGCTTCCCTCTGATGGTTTCTTTTTCCCAGTCATGAGCTGAGAGTGAGTGGTGGTGGGAAGGAGAAGGAGGGACTTGGGGTCAGAGGGTAAGGTATGGAGTAGTGTAAATGCACGGGGTAATACTTGATAGGATTTGCCAAGCAAGGCTGAAGGTACACCTGAATTTGCAGCCTCGGTTAAAGCGACCATCTGCTGGCGAAGTTAGGTGTCTCTCACCCACTTGGATGGCCACCTGTCACAGTTTGCCTGCAGTGGGGAGGTTCCAGGATACAGAATCTACAGAACTAGAACCGGAAATATCCCAAGCAAACTAGGACATCCCCTTGCCTCCAGCTGTAGGTGTAGGGTAGCTAAAGAGTTGACTATACAAGAGTTGAGACAGGAAATCAAGACAAGGAGAGAGAGAAAGAGACAAAACCCCTGGGGTGTCTGTAGGATGGAATTAAACTGAGGGACCTAGAGTATAAGCTGGGTGAGGAGACATGCTGTCATGGCAGGGGACATTAAAAATAAGGTAAGACTGGTGCATTAGATAATTACTGGAGGAGTGGATACTGGAGAGATGATTCTAAAAGGGTAAGAGGTGGTGGTCGGGACATGGGAGGCTGAAGCAGGAGCAAGGTATGCGGTTTATGGGTTATGGCAGGGTACAGGGTGTGGCCATGGGAAAGGGCTTGAGGACGGGTGGGTTTTTCCAGATCACAGGGAGGAAGTGGTGGAGAGACTGGATTAGATTTGGAATCATCAACAAACAGGACACGTGGTAGGGGAGAGAAGAAAAGCAAACTACATTCTAGAACCTTCCATTAGTGATGGGAGGGAATGGAGACAAGAGTAGATAACTGTGGTGAGCAGGGGCTGCAGGCCCTGTAACCTGATGCCCCACTTCTCAGAGAAGCTGAAGTTTTTGGGAAGAACCCCCCTGGGCATGGAGGGATAAGCTGCTGTATGCCAGGCCCCAAGTCTTCCCGCAACAGGTGGACCCCTCTCTCCCCTTAGCGAGCAGCTGGGAAAGCAGTGTCCTCAGGGGAGAGCGGGGTTTCATCTGGACGTGTGAGGATGAATGGAGTTTCAGGCACGAGGTTGACCGTTTCAAAGGCTTTCATGGCGGAGTCGCCCAGTTCCATGGGTCACAGCAAAAGGGGCAGAGGGGTCTTGCAGAGGGCTCGGCGCACGGGGTGCTCCGAGCCCCGCCGGGGGAGGGGACGGCCGGCTCGCGCGTGACGCCGTCTGTGTGCACTCCCCCCAGGAGAAGCAGGACAAGGCGGTGCTCCAGGCCGAAGTGCAGCACCTGCGCCAGGACAACCGGCGGCTGCAGGAAGAGTCGCAGACGGCCACCGCGCAGCTGCGCAAGTTCACCGAGTGGTTCTTCAACACCATCGACAAAAAGTCGTAACCCGGCCCTGGCCCGCCGGGGGTGGCGGTGGGGGCGGGGCCTCGGGGCCTGCCCCCCGCCCCTGGGAACTCTTCAACGCGTGGTTTCTCCGTGTGCTTGCCACCAGTCGTACATGTCTTTGCCGTCCCACCCCGTCCAGCACCATCCACCCCCGCAGGGTAGGGAGGCCCCTCGTTCCTGGAAGCCATGTGGTGACAGCAGCGGGGACAGCGAGCCCGTGTGCGCGTGAATGTAACTCCCGGTGTCGAGATGAATGTAAACCCCGGCGTCGGTTGGGGCCTCTGAGTGGGACTCCAGGGTCCCAGCGCTCTGGCGTGGGCGTCCCTCGAGAGGGGAGAGAGCGGGGCTCCGCGTCCGGCGCATCAGGTGACCCGGTAGCCATGGTGAAAGCAACTGACCACAGTCGGGGCTTTAGTATTGTAAGATAAACCCGGAGACGGATAGTCAGACATATACTTTAATGTTAAAGGTGCTCTATTTTTTTGGATGTACAGTAGTTTTATTTCTCAGCCACATTATCATAGCAATAAGAAAGAGACATAGGAACTAGCTGGAGAAGCCGTGTGGGGAAAATTAAAACAAAACGAAACACTGATGTCTTTAACACTAGTTTGAATGCAGTTCGTTTAGAGACTTATTTATTTGCAGGAGCAAACGGTGCCTGAATATTAAAAGTGTTCTGAGTTTAAAAAAAAAAAAAGATACATATGCCTTGTATATGGCTCAGTAAGCAGCCCTTCGACTCTTAGTTCACTGTGTATAGTTAACGCTCTGCTGAGAGTAGCGCACGCCTGCTTACGTCCTAGAACCTCCTAGAACCTCCCGTTGGCGGGGAGCCAGCAGAATCCCATGTATACAATGCCAAATTTGTTTATCTTTGTACAGAAGCTCTGAGGAAGTGTCTTGTATTTAACGCCCTTATTTAAGCTTATTTAACCTTAAATTGTTAATTTTATAAACTTTGGTTTGACCCGCACTACAACGAGGGAGGTGTAGGCAGCAGCAAGCTTTGGACGGCCGAGCTTGCCCCTAACAGAGCAGAGGCAGGGCGGGAGATTCTAACAACTGGATGCTGCTAGTAACAAGTCCTTTGTATTGCTTTATCATTTTTAACTGTTCTATTTGAGATGAACATACATTTTGCTTTTTTAATAAATGTTCAAAAGAGGCCACATCAGTCACGGTGTCGTCAGGTGAATGTAGATCTGTAGCATCTCTGTGTCAGTGACCGGAGTGTATGAGAGTGCGTTTGGGGTCATTTAGCGTCTTAATCCTGATTCCTGCTTCGCCACCTTCTAACCAAATCGCAGACTCATTCGAAGGAAAGAGTAACTCGTGTCCACACACTTCTCTCTGTGCGTTTCACCAGCGGGATTTCCCTGCTTACAACTCAGGAAACTGAGGCTCAAGTTAAATGATTTACCCCAGCCAGGAATTTGGGTGTTGCTTACAAGAAAATACAGAAGGCAAAAAGAGTAAGAATTAGAAAAATAATCGGGAAGAGATAAACTATACATTTGAATCAAACGTAGAACGAAGAAGACGCGGAAGGTGGGCCCAAGTGGGAAGGGAGCCCCATAAGGTACAAAGTTTTCAACCTTCCGAGAACAGAAGTTTTACCAAGAATTTGGAGGAAGGAAAGTGATTTCTAGAACTTACCCTACAAGGGATGTCCTTTGTGGGCTGCACCTAACAGGTATAGTAAAAATATTCTTAACATTCCTCTGATGTACAAATAGGCTTCCTAAGGCTGTTTCTTGAGATGTGCTTCCAAAATGCCTCTAGTGAAGGCAGTGTTTCAGGGAGTCAGGACATTGTGAACCACAGAGAGTCCTTCTCCACCCCCTCCCTTCCCTGTCACTGTGTGCCAGGCACTGTGCCAGGAGCCCAAGAGCTAAGCAACAGGAGTTAAGACCCAGCGGGGTCCGTCTGCCAGGCGTATGCAGTCTATATGGGGGGACGGACATAAGATTATTTCAAAATGTGAGAGGCAGAGATATAGAGTGTCTGGGATGGATTCCTTCAATAATCATTATAACAGCTGACATTGTTTGGGTGGGTCCTATGTGCCAGGCACCGTTCTGGCCCTTTTGATGTCTGCACAGCAGCCTGTGGGATAATTATTAGATGTACTCCCTCTACACAGATCAGGGATTGAGACATAGTGTGCTCAGGGGAGTCGCCTATGGGTGGGAGATTTCGAAGGTGGAAAGAAAGCCAGCCATGAGAAGCTGGGGGAAGAATATTCTGGATAGAGGGGCCACAGAGTTCAAGGGCCCTGAGGCTGTAGAAAGTCAGGATGCACAGAACATAGGTAGTAATGGGGAAATGATAGGGACATGTTAGATAGGTAAAGCCAGATCAGCAAAGAATTACAAGCTATGGTAGAGTCTGGATTTTGTTCTAAGTCAAAAGGAGACTGTTAAAGCAGGAAAGTGCAAAATAAGATCTGTATTTTTAGACTATTAAGAAAATGAATGAATGAATGAATGGATGGAGTGGGTGACTATTTGGACCTCTGAAGGAGAAAGGACCACCTAGGACAGGTATCTGCAAACTTCTGCGTGGGGACACATAGTAAATATTTAGTCTCTTTATATTTTAGTATTTTTAATATTTTTAAATTCTGGTTACCCAGGAAAGCTGGAAGATCATTCCACTCTTAGCTTTCAGGCCACCGACCAGCATAGCTGAGTGACCCTTGGGATAAGAGAAAGAGTAGAAAAGAGAGACCAGGGGCCTCTTGGTGGTTCAGTTGGTTGAATGACCGATTGTTGGTTTCACCTCGGGTCATGATCTCGGGGTCGCAAGATCGAGCTCCATGTCGGGCTCCCCCGCCATGGCCAGTCTCCTGGAGATTCTCTCCCTGTGCCCATACCCCTGTGCTCACTCACTCTCTCCCTTTCTCTCCAAACTAATAAAAAATTTTTTTAGAAAATGTGAGATCAGTTCCAGGGAGAGGTGGGCAATCACAGCTACAGTGAGGTGGGACAGGTGGAGGAAAATAAGTGGGTCACACTCAAAAGATAGACCCCACGGAACTGCTGATGGGTTGGAGACAGAAGGGAAAGTTTTGATTCAGGGATAAGCCCTAAACATCAGAAGGAAGGATGGGCACCATGTTCATCAGAGAATTTTCCATAGATCTGGCCAACCTTCAATAAAAGCTTACCAACGGGTGGTCCTTGGCAAGAGCCTGAGAGCGTCACTGACCAGCAGTGGATGCGTGCGCTATAGAGGGCATGAAGCAGACAGAAATGTTGTTTAGAGAAAAGAGGAACCTGACCAAAACCTAGCTGAATGGAGAACCATCCCACCTTCCTAACGTGTACCTGCAGACAAAACCAGAAGGTTTTGCTTTGAAGACATACTTCTCAGTCTACACTGGCAAAAGATTAAATCATCTCTCAAGTCCACCCCTAAAGGGTCGTGCCAAAGAATGGCCAGAATGATGTTGGTTCAAGTTTTTCCAAAGGCACGCTTCCAGTCAACAGCCAGGCCATAGAAAAATCTCCTCACACACCTCTAGTACATGTGGTTTTGTGCAACTTGGCATCCTAGTGAACACTGTTGGTTACAAAATGTACCCTTCACCGACGAAACACTTTGACTTTCTGGAACGTTCACCGAGTACAAACTAAACATTGGAATATATCCACTAGAATTATTTTTTACTTTGGAATAATTAACATTCAGCAGGTTTTTTTTCCCAACCATATGGAGTAATCTATTGTGTATTAAGGCCAGTCAACTATGTGACAGAGTTAATTTGTATTTTAGAGGCTTCCATCCTGCTATTCGTATCAAGGAGCAGGTTCATCATTAAAAATACAAGTTAAATTTGCGAGGGGGATAATCCCAGGCCTGCTTTTGCTGACCTCACAATTCTCCTTTGAAATGCCAGGAGTCTTGTTGTTCTGCTAGCCCATTAAAATGCAGAAATTGATTATCTATCAATAGCCAAAGCCTTCATCAAACTCAGAACCATAAAACTATGGCTTCCTATCTATAGATTCAAAGAGATATCTATAAAAAGACAGTAAGAATAATACTCTTGATGACTTCTTCATGAAGAGCTATAACTGGTTAATATTGGAATATGGGGATATTAAAATGACTTGCTCCTGGTATAAAAATATGAGCCTGAGAAACCTGGAATTGTGGTTTAGAGTGAGTGTGGACATCAAATTTAGACTGACCAGCCATGAATTCCTTAGTTTTGGAGAAACTGTGGACATAGACCTTTATAGAGTCAACCCAACTTTTGTTCCCAACCAGGTGGAGGGCATGTCACTACAAACAAGCCGCCATCTTTACAGCTGCCATCCCCACCACTGGAGTCATCATGAAATATTTTTGGGCAAAACTTGTAAGAGGAAAGTCCCAGCTTCTGGAGATTATGAGATAATCTCAGATCTGCTGAGGTCAAGCCAATGTATGTCCTTGAGAATTTCCAAGTTGGGGATGGGAGAGGAACCAAAGGAAGTGATACAGATTTTTACATTTGCACCTTGGAATTATTGTCAAGGGTAAATTGCAGGTCTCTTGAGTGCTTGTGGATTTGGGGCTTAAAAATTTAAAACCACTCCCCTAGATCTAGTGTTCAGGCATGCTACTCAGTAGCGGAAAAGAAAGTAAATAGAGTTGACTGGGTTTCATTCAACACCTGCTTAGAGGCAGGTGGGAGGTAAATGTGTTTGTTTATGCTCCACGGGATGGAAAATGGCAAGAAACCTGCCCAAATCCAAGGCATGGGTTGGGTTTCTGACCTGTGACCTCCAAATTAACCCAAAGACCAAGCTTCCTGGCTTCTCAACAATAGGAATTAGGCAGAAGCTTAAGCACAAAGAAAAGTCTTTTTATGAATTTTTAAAAAGGCTTAAATCGTCACCCCCAAAGGTGACATTCTTGCATTTTTAACATGGAAGATTTGGGGGTAAAAAATAAAAAAATATTTGGGGGTAAAAATAAAAATAAAAAAATCCTTTAAACCCTTCCAGTTTATCTTAATATCTGAAAAGGCACTGCCCTCTTAAATCCTTACACTCAAGGTTTTGGTACAGCTGTTTGCAGACCCAGAAGCACACCAGCCTCTGGTTCTCATCCATAATACCAGAGACCTGCCTACAATGTGCAGAGCAGCTCGGGTTTTCAGAAGAGCAAATAAAAAAATCGTCAGCTCCCTTGACATGCAAATGTCCTTTTGCTGATAAACTAGAGCTGAGTTATTAAAGAACAAAATTAAGGGTTAGATTACCTATATCCTGGTCATCGATAACCCATCGATCGGACGGTTAGGCACTGGTGATTTTGTTGTCTGAAAATTCCGCTGCTCTCTTGGCCTCCTCACATGCAGCAAAATCATGGTGGAGCCGGTGCTCGAGGGGCATTCCCAGTTGCAGCCTTTCAGTTCATTATCTGTCTCAGCTGAAACAGGGCTGCGTCAGAGAGAGTATGGCTACAAATACACACCTGCAGATGGAGATTTCAGACCCCAGCGGTCTCCTCTATCACTGCACATCACAGAAATAGGGTTTGGGCCACTGGGTTCTGGTCCCTCTTCTCCGCAACCGTGATCAGTGATAGGAAGCCAAGAGGGACCTCGCTGAATGCTCCATTAAATTGGGATTAATTAAACATGACAGTCATGTGCTCTTCTAGGATCTGATTAGACCCCTTGTAGCAGTCATTATGGAACCCCATCTGGGCTGAGGGCTTGCCAAACAGCAGGCAGAGACTCAGAGTCCCCACTTCCATGACTCCAGAATTCCAAGGCTGAGCATTCTTTATCCCTTTAAATTAAGTACTTAAGAACTCAAATAGCACTATTCCGGAGAGGAAGAGGCACTTGCCTTCAGCAGGGCACTGAAGCCAGTTGGGCTTAGCCCCCCCAACTCCCACTTGATTCTATTTTTTTTTTTTTTTTTGCTACTGTTGAACTATCTGAAGGCCATTGCTCAGCCAACATTGTCCTCAAACCATTTCATTTCTGAGTGGCTGGGCAAAGTGGAGGCTTGGTGGGGACCCAGGTAAAGAGACTGGTGTGTATGGGGCCACACTGTTTATACTGATCCCATTGAGATGAGCTCTGAAATCAAGTGTCTCTCCCTAATTTAACAGATCTTGTTCTGTTCTTTCAAAGCAAGAGCCTCTTCACTGATTTGCCCTGAAATGTAC